CTGATAATCAGTATTGTACAGATAAAAGCAGGTATAGCATAAATTCAATTAAGAAACCTTTCAATTTGGGACAGTTTTTTTGATCAGTTACCCCCCAAAAACGCAATGCATTATGAGRATGTGAAAGTCGAGAATTAAAAGAGCTAGTCCCAATAAAGATGTTGTGTTTTTTTAACCCATGAATTGATCCAATCATCCTAGTAATATCGATGGTTTTCTATACTGAATACACGTAGGTTATGAAAATTGTGTGGCCTAGGAAGCTGAGAAGGTACAACCGAAGAGAGTCTGTCAGGAGAGCCAGGACAAAAATAGGAGAAAACAAGTACCACTGCTTGACCAATAACTGTGAGCACTTCATCATGTGGTGCATATTTGGGATCAAAATCAGTCTTCAACTGCAGACTTGGCACAAATGGGCAAGAGAATGTGTCAACTCATTATGTGTTGTTGGCAAGGAGTCATTTGCCCAGGCATCCGGCCGTTTGGTACCGTTTTTGTTAAAAGTGCTCGCCAATGCATCAGATGAGATAGCACTTGGGATTTTGAGCCAGAAATATGCTCCATTTATCATTGGCGTTGCTATCGGTGCGGCTATCGAGACAGGCCTAGTCATTTATGAAATCAAAAAAGCTTTTGATCAGAAAGAAAGTGGAGACCTGACCGAAAAACTCTTCTACGCTGAAGTTATTACGATCATTGCCAAATCGGTGTTCCGTTTGGGACTAGGCGCTGCAGGGTCAGCGGTTGGCTTGGCGTATGGCGGTCCCTGGGGTAGTTTAGCTGGAGGTGCCTTGGGTGCAATTGCTGGAAATCTTCTTGGTAAACTCTTTGGATGGTGTATAAAATATATTCAATCAGATAGCGACTTGGAACAGGAAAACTTCAATTAGCGGTAGACAGGTGACATCTGGTTGAACTTAACAAATAAAGACGAAGAGGGAAAATAACGACTGTGAAGATGATAGGTAGAATGAGACACATTAGATGTAACTACTAAGCATTCAACAGTGATAAACTTTTGGTCCTGCTATAACGTCCGTAGATAAGACGGGGCCATCATTTTCTTATGACGTTGTCATTTGAGCCACGGCGCGAAAGTCAAACCATTTGCAGTTGTTCTCAGAACAGCACAGATATTTGAGACCCTAAAACCTGATTTTCAATTGCGACGGAAATGAAACGGAGTCGCATTCGGAGCCAAAAGCAACTTATGACGAAGTGAAAACCAGAAAACGGAGTCGGAGTGGAGTTAGAAGCGTGTCGAAATCGGAAGGATCGGAAGGTTTCCTTTTTGCTTGTTTTGCAGCGAGAAATTCTTATCACGCATCAAACTGAAGCTCAACGGCCTAAGCCAGTCACTGGTGCACCAATAGACTTTTTTAGCTTAAAGAATCAAACTGATGTTCAACGAACTAAGCCAGTCACTGGCCAGTGCACCAATCGACCATTTTAGATTGCGTATGCAAATCAAATTGTCCATTTCAGATCACATTACAATCAACTCCCAAGAGTGGGATCACATGGTCTAAAATGTGCACAACAAACAACGAAGCTAAAGAGGTGGCTATTCTCAAGGGCGGATCCAGCCAAAATTTTAAGGGGGGAGGGGGCTGATTGAGTTTCTTCCGTCAACAGAACGAAAAACAATATAAAAAAGCATCGTTTTTTTCTGCTGAAGGGGGGGGGGGCTTCAGCCCCCCTTTGCCCCCCCCCCCTGGATCCGCCCTTGATTCTAGATGGCAGCCCTGCCATCACTCTAATAGCTCTTGCTAGCCAAAATGCAATAAATTACAGCATCACCGTTTCATTTATGCTCGCGTTTGTTCTTCCTGTGCCAAAGAATGCTCATTCAAACATAAGCCGCACAATGAAGAAGCATGTGTCTAGATGTACATAAGCTTAATGGGGAGTCCCCTACCACTACCTGAAGTTCAAGATTTGACCCCGCCAAGACAAAACTACATCACCATGTAAGGAACCGTTCTGAAGACTGAGACAAAGCTTTACTCGGTTAGCGTAGTAGCAATGGAAAACAACGGAATCCTGCGTCGCTGCCCTACGACAATAGATTGGGAGAAGATCGAAAGAAGTTCACCCGAAGAGCAGATAGAATTCTTCTCCGAATGGAAGGACAAGTTTGAAGTTGAACTGGTTTCCTCTGGTGGTAAAAATGTGAAAAAAGGTGACCACCTCGCGATTGAAAGATACAAAATTCTCCCGAATGGCAGTCCACTATATACCCATCATGCGATTTGTACTAGTATTCACCGAGATACCAAAATGATTACTCTATCCGAGTATGCCGGGAATATCTCAGGTATACTAGATGTACATCAATCCGGCTTGAAAAGTCTTGCAAAGATAAAGAATAATGAGTACAATGCTGCTGATTTAGAAGAGAAAATGGTAAGTCCATTGCTTAGAAATATTAGTGTCATTCGATTCTCCGGCAATCCTTAGTCTTAATAGTTATTCCAATGTCATTTTTGATTCATTTTTCGGTTCGTCTGTGGTTAATTTTCAAAACAGAGTAGAGAAAAAGCGTCGAAAATACGCATCCGTGAGCACACACACACAGATACACACACACATGACCTTATTGAAAGGCAGACATCAAACGAACTTTTAAAATGCGGCGTGGCTGAAAAATGAGTCTGAAATACATGTATTCAAAGGTTATAAGTATATAATCCTATTAAGACTATTGGAATTGATTCAAATCAACAACAAGAAAATCTTAAGAATAAGCTACTTCGATGTACTCATTTTCCTCGTTTTTTTCTAGCTTTATCTCTGCTGTCGTCAATAGGGGTCAACCTCGTTAATTTATTCACAGACAACATATGAGAGTGAAAGCGCGCCAAAACAACGAATCTGCTCCATTTGTGAGGGGGAAGGGGCGGTGGATGAATGCCTTAGTAACTGTCATGCAATCGAGTATTGGTGCGTGACAATGTAATGAAATTGTCATGCAATTTCTAATACTGGTTTGTCATTTTATCACGTAGCTTGTTTATTGTATTTTTACTTAAAGGCTTACAAAGTCATTTGGCCGAAAGAGTTGAGAAGATATGGAGTCAAAAAGGTAACCAAACGAGCCAAGAAGCGAAAAGATGAACAAACCTACGACCCTTTGAAAAACAACTGCGAACACTTCGCAACCTGGTGCAAATGTGGCCTGAACATCAGCCTTCAAGCCCGACTGTGGTGTCTCTGGGCAAGAAAAATTGTCGACAAAATACTTGCTGGTGGAAATGCCATCATAGAAAGCATTGTGCCTGTATTGCTTAGGGTTTTAGCTACTGTTCCTAACAAAAGCGTGGCAGCATTTGCAAGCAAATCGTTTGCTGAATCACTAATGAGCAATCTGGTCGAGAAAGGCTTTATCAACGATACTGTTATCAGTAACATCAAGGAAATCTTTGACGAGTGGATGATGAAAAATGCTGACGAGCTACTTTATGAGAGGCTTGTGCGGATGATAAAGAAGACAGTTTCTAAGTTTGTGGAGGAGAGCTGCCGTACCGTAGGTTCGATGGCAGATTCAGTTTATCAGTCTGTTAAGAAAGGCTTTGGGTATGATAGTGTCGATGGTGTTGACTGCGTTGATGGTGATGATGGTGATGATGGATGTACTGAAGAGCTTTTTAATGAATTTATCGAATGGTGCAATGATGAATGAAATGAAGCAAGCCATGCAACTAATGATATCGTAGGGGTCAGACAAGGGGTAAAATTACAATATAGAGAATGAATGAGTGAATAAATAAATCAGTGAACGTGAATGTGTAGACACCACTCCACAAAGATGAATACAAATCGTTGTTCAAACGTAGATATAGTTTTATATATAATGCACAAGATGCACTATTATTTTGGAGAACCAGTAATGGAGTAATTCATTCGGAATAGTAGACTAGTTTCTATTCTATATTTGCATGCAGCTCAGTATAATTCTTTGAAATTAAAAGTAGAAAGATATATAGCTTACTTTGTCGTCTTTATCACCTTCAGTGAGACCCAGAAAACTCCAGATACGCAACATTTCTGGCATTCCAGCTTCTGTTGTCAAGAGCTTGTTACAAAAGTTTGAGTTTTAATATTAGTGACTTTGGCGAGTTTGTTTGACGGTCAAAGGGGGCCAGCGCGCACGAGGCCACAGAAATAATCTAATCTTTACATAGATAGGTAGCTTAACATCTTGTAATGAAGTTATAACTGAGAACAAATACAAATGCATCAGTAAGCATACCTTGAACACCTTGTCGTTGTATTCAGTTRTAACCTTTAGACCTTTGAGACCCGCTCGGTGCGTGTTGCATATTGGGAACGAAAATTTTCGCATACACAGCACGCTGGGACATCACAGGGAGCCCAAAGTCAGGGTGTTCAGGATCAGGATCAGGATTTTGCGTTGACCAAGACAAGGATCCCCCTCTAACAATATGTACATAAAACGAAACTTAAAATTTGTTACGGTGCAAAAACATATCGTAATGTTTTTTTACAGAGCTTGTAAGCTGTGACGTATTTCCGTGTACGACTGCTCACAAAAACTGCTAAAATAAAGTGGAAAAGTTCTCAATAATTTTTAAAACATCTAACTGAAATAATTATAAATTTGAAAAAAAAATATCATGTCATGAAGAAAAAGTGAGAAAAGTCTTTGAAGAACTCTTCTTTGTGGACCCGGAAGTCACTGTACTCTGCTGATTATTTTCTACAAAAACCATGCTTGGGCTGCCTGTGTTATGTCCTTGCTTTGCATGTTGGGTAGTATTAATGGTGGACGAACAAGAAACAAAATGCCGAATCCAAACAACGCGAACCAAACGAGCTCTAGTACCGACCCTAAAAGACCGAATAAGATCTTTAGATATAAACCACTAGCTAATAAATCTTCCGATGATCCTACTCCAGACTATATGAACCTTCTTGGCATGATATTTAGCATGTGTGGACTGATGATGAAGGTAAAGATTTGATCTTATTTTAGAAAATGATTCATCTTTTTTTTCTATAAAAACGAGAATTTTTCTAAAAGAACCCAGTGTTTAGATTGCTCTTGAACGCTTCTTTGGTTATCACTGAATAAAGCTATGGTTTTCAGGCGAATATTGTAAATTCTAGACTGAATTTGCCGGTTTATAATCAAGTTGCACCCTAATATTTTTGTAAAAGCGAAGTCCGACCCAACCGCCATGATAAACCCAGCACTATCATATAGTATAAAGGTTAATGTAGCTTATATGCTTAGGCTTTTTTTCTTTAGGAAATGCTGCTATGGACCAGCTATCAATACAAATAGTATTATGTGAAATTCTTTTTTTAAACTTTCTTTGTTGGTCTCTACAGTTAAAGTGGGCGGCATGGGCTGCGGTTTACTGTTCGTTTATCAGCTTTGCTAATGCAAGATCTTCAGAGGACACCAAACAAATGTTTAGCAGTTTTCTGTAAGTATCCCTCCTGTAAAGCCTGGTTCTCACTGGTGATACAAGCCAACACATGCAGACTTTCACTTATCTCCAATCTAGGGCATGTTGTCACAAAATGTGCAACCAAAATGCAAGCATAAGAGAATATTTTGTTTTTCTTGCATTGACTTTGTGCTCGTGCTTATGCTTATGCTTGCACTACTAGTGAGAACCAGTACTTAATAGCATACTTAATGTACCTCTAAGAATATGGATTATGCCTTTTATATAAAGAAAGGAATGCTAGTATTCAAAAGTTCAAAAGAAGCATCAACAATCCCTATATTCCAACTCATTTATATTTAAACGTTCCCCTAGTAGGCTGTAAAATATGAAATTTATATATTAAAAAGTATATAAATGCACACAGTTAAAATGTCAGTTGACATTTAAAACAAATGAAATGATATGACCCTAAAGTAGTTTTAGTGAACTAACATGAAACCGCCACCCCCACCCGGTTAGCTCAGTTGGTAAGAGCGTTGGTCTCTCAGGGTCTTAAAATAACTGAGGAGATTAAGGTGCTGCCATTGTAATAATATCTGCAAATGGTTAGACCTTCAAGTCTTCTCGGACAAGGACTTAAAACCGTAGGCCCGGTCTGTCTTCACTATATAACTCTGTATAAGGCGGACATAAAAGAGCCACTGAAGACGCTGGTGATGACCATCTTCAGTACCTGTGCTAAACACAAGAGGGCCACAAGTTAATCAGTTACCAAAATTACTGTCACTCGTCACCCTCATTAAATAAAGTCTTCAATCAATCAATCAAAACATATTGCATATTTCTACCACAGATTGTCAGTTTCAGCAGTCGTCATGTCTTATCTACAAAACCCTCAACCTATGGCAGCGTCATGGTGATACAAGGAGCGCTGGACACAAAGAAAGGAGTAACATATAATAGAATATCTTTTCTTGCTGTATCCTGTAATAATGCTACTATTGACACAAGCCCATGGGACCTACTGGCCTTGAGTTAGATACTGTGAAGTTAAATATGTTTGTGGTTAAAAATTATGGGATTCCACTGTATTGATTATATTGATCAATATTAAATGCTCTCTTTCCCATTTCTTTGTACAATATCCATTTTTAGTCCAAAATACAATCCATTATTTTCTAAGTTGATATTTATTTGTGCTGTTGAGGTTTTGACTTCTTATGTTTCTAACAAAAAGATTGTCACTTAATATGTTAAAATACATAAAGCATATCACAGACTGTCAAATATTGATCTTTATGTCAATTATTTCTGAAAATGTTTCATCAATCTTTAACTGAGCCTAACCAAAAATAAGCATTGAAAAATAAACCCACATTTTTCAAGAAATAATTTGTTTCTTAACTCTTATTTCTCTTGGTTTTACAATGAAAAATTGAATGATACATCTTTTATTGAATTTATTTATATAGAGATATAAATTAGTAAGTAGTTTAGTAGTAAGTGTAGAATTAGAAGTAGATTGTTTCCTATTAACTTGTTAAAAGATGTTAGGGAGCACAGATAATAGGCACTTCCATGGTTTCCTGTGACTACTGCCCTGGAGCCACCATCACATGTGAGTAAAAAAATCATTGGTTCTCCTCTCTGATTTCCTGCTCTCTGGTTTCCTGCTCTCTGGTTTCCTGCTCTCTGGTTTGCTCTTCTCTGGTTTCCTCCTCTGTGGTTTCCTCCTTTCCTTTCCTCTTGAGGTTTACCTTAAGTTCCCTAGCTTTGTCTTGAAAARTACTAGTATTATTATTTTTGCACACATATTTACAAATTTTGATTATAATGAAGAGAGAGAAAAGAACAGATAGACAAGTGAATTAATTTAGTGTGTAGTGATACGGTTAAAGTAGTTTAAACTTTTTCGAATTAACCGTCACTTAGCCTGTGTACAGCCACTTCCCACCCTTCACCCCTACAGGGAAACGTTTTTTTTGGAGGGGGGAGGGGTGGCAATCACTGTACACAGGCTAACCGCCACTAAACAGAAAATTTTTTTAAATGTTTTAAATGTTGGAATTTATTGGGCTTTTAACTAGATTGGATTTAAGATATATATGGAGAAATAGAAAGTGCRCACATTTGCTCTCATAAAGCACAAGCTCCAACCAATCAAAAAGCAAGATTTAGAAATTCCTAATATTATAATTTCTTTTTGGTGTAAGTGTTTAATTTTCCAGCATTTTTATCAAGCCATTATGGAGTGGCCTAGTTACATGGTGTAGTTGCAGATACTATTGTTAACACCTCTGACAATACTGTATATACTCGTATAACTACATACAATAATCTGATAATGCAACAAGTGAATAAGAAGAAAACTTACAACACTGTGTAAAATAAGTTTGTAACTATACATGACTTGTGTGTTCAGTTACAAAAGAGTTTTTCTTGGTCTAATGCCCTCCCTACTCTCCCCTCCCCAACTATAGGTTATGTTGCTTCATATTGAGTTAGTTGTGCAGAAATGATTAGGATTAAACCTTGTCGTAATTCCAATTCCATCTGTGAGTTAGCCGTGCCCTGACTTAGATCAGCCCAGAGGTTGTTTAAGGGTTCTATCTGTGAGTTAGCCATGCCCTGACTTAGTTCAGCCCAGAGGTTGTTTAAGGGTTCTATATGTGAGTTAGCCATGCCCTGACTTAGTTCAGCCCAGAGGTTGTTTAAGGGTTCAATCTGTGATGCCCTTGCCTAGACTTTAATCAGCCCAGAGGTTGTTTTACGGTAAAGATAATACTTAAAGGTCTAGCTATAGGTCCTTTTTATATACTAAAGAAGTTTCTAGGTCTTGCGGTATATATTGGTCCTGAAAGAGTGAAATATGGACTGGAAATTAACTGTTTCATTTTGGAAAATTAAATTTAATGAACTGAGAATGGAATCAGAACAATAGAAACGAGGATAAAAATACCAACATTGGGATCCCCCAAAACGGTTTTTGAAAAACGTTATGCGACCAAGAAACCGTGTTAACAAGTTAAGAAACAGTGTTTGTATGCAATTGGTTTTCGCAATTCAAAGGAAATTTGAAATCCCACTAAGCAAACAAGACAGTTTCGCTTCCTCATTAGTATTTTCTTAATTAATTTCTCGTTTGTTCTGCCTAGTTGGCAAAATACTCATTACTTTCAACTTATTTTATTTGTGTAATAAACAGTACTACATTTTTTGTAATAATTGGATATAAAGTCTCTCTGTGTTTGTATGACTTGGTAAATATTTCAAGTTTCTGATTGGATTATCAAATCAATCTTGACGTTCATTCTGAAACAGCTTTGTTGCTATGAAACCAGACTGAATTTAAGGTTTCAATTTCTCATTTTTGATAAAAATTCCTTTTTTCGCTCGTTTTCTTATCTTATTTTTCAGACATAAAGACGATTGCAATTCCCAGTTTTCACTTTGCTTTCCTTACGAACTCATGATGAGGCAAATAAAGCTGCATAAAGTGCTGCAGTGACACTAACATGGTTCCCCAGTCAATCAATTCAGAATTCAAAAACAAAATATGAAAAAAAAGATTTTGTTATAGAAATAGAATAAATACGTATGAACAAAAGACATCTCGGTATGAATAACTCTATTACTTTACAAAGACAATTCTGCCAGTTAAATTGACTCCCTGGAAATGTTTTGTTACAACTTACTATTTACATAGGTGTAAAACGACTCAAATCCTTAATTGTTTCAATCACTTAGGCGGTTCCTGTCTTAAACTTGTCAAAAAAATCTCTAGCCACCTTCAAAGACAGTATTTGGATTGTTTCTTTGCTTTTACGTAGCACTGAGTCGGATGAGTTGGTAAAGAGTTGTGTTCCACGTTGGTACAGTCGTCGAAGGTTCTCCCAGAAAGAGTGGTATATCCGACACTGAGTTCCGGCAAAATGAGAGAATTAATTCTGCTATTCTGCCTGGCTTTTGCTTCTATCTACAAGTAAGTTTTGCAATTTTATAAAACAACTAAAGAGCCCCAAAAACTATTTATTCGTAGTAAAATTTAAAAATTCTAGTTACAATGTAGCTCACAGTTATACTGATCTGTATTTTGTGACTTACTTCACAACAATTTCATAAAAGCTGTTCAACAATTATCAAAAAGCTCATCCTTTTAATAGTCCAAAACTTTTTAAATAGTTTTTATCTCACGAAAATTCTTCCAAATTATCTTTTTTCAATTTAAAGTCCACGCTGCTCAAATGAAAACTAAAGCTAGATCAAAAAGTAAAACCAAAAAACTATAGAAATCTCAGTCTAACGTGCGCAAATTCTAAATTCACACTCGCAATGCAAGTTCTAAATTCACACTGATCATCTATTTTAAATTCAAATCCAATCATTATCGTTTATTCAAAACTTTTAATTTTTCGTTATTGTGCAAGTTGGATACTTTTTGCTCCTCTTTTTCATTTTTCCGCAGTCTTATTTCCCCTTTCCTTTTCTCAGTTTGTTTTCGTTCGTTTTTACTGGAAAGCAAATGTTGCTGCAAAAAAAAAAATCACGTCAATTTTAAGGGTTTTTTTCATTTTCTTTTTCGGGTTTTCTCGCTATATAAAAGTTAACTTTTCGTGAACTTTAGATTTCTCTGATGACCAGTAACTAAGTGATTTTCCACCAAAAAAATCAGCGTTTGAAATTTTTCTTTTTCTGGCTGGACCAGAGTTCATCCTAGTCTGTCATGCACCGACATATTTGCTAATAGAACCATTTGTTCATTGTTTTCAGACCCATACAAGGATCCAGTGGAGGTAAGCTGGTTAAACATAGTATTTTATCTGTCCAACATCATCTGATTTTCATGATCTGTGTTTATGTGGATCTTAGATAAAGTTTATCAATGCACATATTTTTTAGTATTGAACAGTTACCTAGGAAACTATGTACACGATGAGCCCAGGCCTTAATGAGGTTGTGGAACGGCGCCCTCCCTGGGCTAATTGGCTTAACCGTGCAGGGTTCACACGGTCATGGAAATAGAATACACCTTTCCTGAATTCGCTTGACTGACCACGAAACAATGGTTTGAAGTCGAGACTGAACTTGATTCTTTTTTCATCAAGCCCAACCTCGACTTGAAACCATTGTTTCGTGGTCATCCAAGCGAAGTCTATTCAGGTTTCTTTTCTTTTCTTTTCTTTTCTTTTTTTTTTTTTTTTTTTTTTTTNTTTTTTTTTTTTTTTTTTTTTTTTTTTTTTTTTCCCCTTTTTTGTCATTTTTTATAGTACTTCATTCAATAATTACCATAAAGACGAACATTTCAAATACGATCAATAAGAAGAAAATATGGGACATGGAATTAAAATAAAATGTCAAGGAAGCGTTTTGGAAAAGTCATGAATTTTAATAGAATGAAAAAAATATCATTCATCGTGGAAAAGTAATAAATGATACTTGTTCGTTTGTCTCACGATTGATGGTCATTTGTAGAGGACCGCGACGTTTCGACTGCAAACTGCTAGTCTTCATCAGGCGATGGTGTAGACTGGATGGTGCGTCTTTTATATACGCTCGTCGGATAATCTGCGTCGTGATTGGCTGATCGGTTCATGTTCTTATTGGACAGTTTCATCCACACCCTTGGCACCCTTTGACTTTTCTGGGAGAGATGATTTTAAGACACATTTGATAAGTTTTGCTAAAAAGCCCGATAATAAAATAAAAGTACCCGATACGCCTCGTGTTTGGTGTCGATCCTTCAAAGTCGAACCTGAATCTGTAATTTATTTTAATATTGTGGTGTTATTTTCAGCCAATTGTCCAGTGAAAACAAGGAATCGTGGATGCTGTGTGTTCCCATTCGTGTACAAGGGGGTAACGTATAATCAGTGTATCAAGGGTCACTCGGTATGGTGCTCACAGACCCCAAACTACGATAAAGATGGCAAATGGGACTACTGTGTTGGTAAGGAGGCTATAGATCAGCTGTCTCCTCAAGAAAAGGAAGATACACCCATTCACCAATCCACTCATTCACCCGTCCACCCATTCACCCGACCACCCATTCACCCGTCCACCCATTCACCCGACCACCCATTCACCCGACCACCCATTTACCTGTCTACCCATTCACTCGACCACCCATTTACCCGACCACCCATTTACCTGTCCACCCATTCAACCGACCACCCATTCACACATCCACCCATTTGCCTGACCACCCATTTACCTGACCACCCATTCAACCGACCACCCATTCACCCGACCACCCATTCACCCGACCACCCATTCACCCGACCACCCATTCACCCGACCACCCATTCACCCGACCACCCATTTACCTGTCCACCCATTCAACCGACCACCCATTTATCCGACCACCCTTTTACCCGACCACCCATTCACCTGTCCACCCATTCAACCGACCACACATTCACCCGACCACCCATTCGGCCGACCACCCATTCACACATCCACTCAAATACCTATTAACCCATTCACTCAACCGTCCATCCATTCATCCACCCATCCACTCATTCGCCCAATCACCCATTTACTCATCGACTCATCCATTCATCCATTCATCTTCTCATCCATAAATCCATCTATACATCCTGAGCAAAAAATTTGTTGTTTTGTTTCTCCAGGTCTTGAGGGTAAGATAACAGCAGACGACAAAGCCTGGGTGTACGGTAATGGACAGTATATGGGCAACGATAATGACAGATGGAACGTTATTAAAAGGTAATCCTTGTTCTTACAAATGCGCTGTTTCTAAGAAAAAGATTAATGCTCACATTAAAAAAACTCACAGTTCGGAGGTGCCGTGCCGTGACCGTGACCTTGACCGTGAGATTGCCATGCTCGAGCAGTACTACAAGTTACGATTTATTTTTTTCATAGTGTTCAAGTGAAAGTCCGTGAAATTTCAAATCGCTTCTTTAATAAACGTTCTTTAATTTAGCCACATCCCGGCCTTATTTCAGACCAGAGGTTTGTTCCAGGGTTCGATCTGTGAGCTAGCCATACCCTGACTTAGATCAGCCCATGAGAGGTTGTTTCAGGGTTCGATCTGTGAGCTAGCAATACCCTGACTTTGATCAGATTAGCCCAGTGGTTGTTTTAGGGTATCCGGTACAGTATAAACAATTTGAAGGTTAACGATGAGTCTTTCTTTAAACTTTTCCGGCTTCAGTTACATGTTTGGCACTGACATCGAAGTGGTTGCAATCCTCGTCAAGAACACAGGAGGCCCATCAGGACTTATGGCAACCTTCAGCAATGGAATCCGAACAGACTCTTCCTGGAAATGTACCACCACTACTTACAAAAATTGGCATACCACAAACTTCGACGACAGTTCCTGGCCACATGCAGTGGAACATGCACTCAACGGTTACACGGTCAGGGACATTCCCAGAGATGTCAGGTGGATTGGTGTGCGTGATCCTAACGCTAAGCAGTTTTATTGCAGGCGCAGGATATCAGTCAAACCTCAGCTGCCGCCATCGAGCCCAGGTGAAGTATCACTTTATAAATACATTTTTAAAAATCCATCAGTTGTAGAACTTGGGCCGATATTTAGTACTCAAAGCCTTGTACGGGGGCGGATTTAGGGGTGGCGCCGATGGGGCCACGGCTTCCCTTTTTTGGAAACTTATTAACAAATTAAAACTTTTGGAAATTTATTTAAAAATTGTATTTGCATACGGTCTTGAAGGTTTTCTCTCAGGACGAAGTTTTTCGACCCATCTTTGATTCCTGGATCCGCCCCTGTTGTGCGGGACCTCATTACCTTGGGCGTAATGTTTTCCCCTTGTAGACCACGTGTCATTCTCTTGAGATTATTTGTTTGAGTTAACGTTGTATCCATTTCTATGAGTAATATCTTCTCGTGCGCAACCGTTAAAAAAAGAAATGAGACTCTTGGGAATGAATGACACGTGGTCTGTGGTAGGAAAACATTATGCCCGGAATAAAGATCATACTACCACAGGAAAGACTACTTTAATCAGCCGAAAATCGTACCAAAATGGTTCAACAAACATGATATTTTTTCCTTCTCATTCTCCAGCTTGCAATGAAGCGTTAGGTCTGGAAAGCGGATGGATAGAGAACTCAGCCGTCACTGCCTCGTCCAACTGGGACGCACAACACATGGCTTGGAGGGCACGTCTGAACATCGAGAAACAAGGCAGCTTCACTGGAGGCTGGAGTGCAAGGACTAATAATGTCAACCAATGGATACAGGTATGACCGGAATTTTTCCAGTTAACAACAAGTTTGACCTGTTCTACAGGATTGATTTTACAACATTTTATTATATAGTTAGGATAGTACGCGCGCGCTGATTGGTCAACAACTGACGCCATCTGCGCGCGCGAAGTGCTGCTAGATCCTGCGTTCGTAAATAAATTCAATACCAAAATAAAATTAGTGACTATACAGCACAGTTCAGTTCAATGAAAAATAGTTTTCAGACATTCTGTGCATAATATACATAACACCTAGTATAAAATCTAATCTAAACTAAACTAAACTTTAGATTAGATTAAAGAAGAAACCGGTTTAATCAAGTAAATCCAGATTTTAAGGGTGTTTTTTGGTATTTTTTCCCCCATTAGGTGGATTTTGGTCGTTCTACTCGCGTAACAGCCGTGGCAACCCAGGGTCGTCAAGACTCAGATCAGTGGGTGACCAGATACACCTTGTCATATGGTAACAACCCAAATGATTTGTCATCCTACAGGGTCAATGGATACACTAAGGTACGCCACTAGAGTGCAAACCATATATATCCATGAAATAGTACCAACTATCTACAGTACAAAATAGCACCCATGAAACACCACTAAGGTACACCACTAGAGTGGAAACCATATATATCCATGAAATAGTACTAACTATCTACAGTACAAAACAGCAGCAAATGAAACACCACTAAGGTACACCACTAGAGTGCAAACCATATATATCCATGAAATAGTACCAACTATCTACAGTACAAAATAGCACCAATGAAATAATCGAAAACAAAAAAAATACATGTGTTTAGTGCTATTTAGTTTTGCAGTATTTCACGGATATATGGTCTGCACTCTACCACCACTATCACTATCAAGAAATCTTGTTCGCGGGGCATTGTTTTCAATAGGCTAAGCAAATCAACAATTAGACCCCTAGACCGAGTGGTCTACGAGGCTTTGCACCGTCACGTGATGGCAGCCATGGCAGGAGGCAGAAACAATTGAATTTGGTCTTTGTCTAATCTGATTTACATGAGAAAGATTTCAGTTTCCCAGGGGCAAAATGACTCTATTGTTGTGCCTCTTGTCATGGCTGCCATCACGTGATGGTGCAAAGCCTCTATAGTCAATAAATCATAATTCCTAGGAATAATTGAATCTCGTCTAATATGATTCTTATGAGAAGGAATTAAGTTTTCCTGGGGCAAAATGACCAGTCTATTGTTGTGCCTCTTGTCATGGCTGCCATCACGTGATGGTGCAAATAAATGCCTCTCAATAGCTCATGAGCAGTTTCGCCGAAGGCCATTAGGACGAGAGGACTACTCCCATACCCATACATGAGTACAGTGGAACTGATGTAAATAGAATTTTATTATGGTTTTGTTCTTGTTTATAGCAATTTAATGGCAACACGAACAGAAACACAGTCGTGAAGCATACACTGTCACCAGCAGCTGAGGGTCGATACATACGACTTCACCCCAAAGCGTGGAAAGGCCATATATCAATGAGAATGGAATTCTATGGATGTTACATGGGTAAGAGAAAAACCTCTCTACCTTTCCCTCATTGTTCGAAATTATAAAGTCCACTAATTGGATATAATAATTATTTATTTCTTTACCATCCTCTTGCTTGCTCCCTACCTTCTCCTGCCTTGTTTCTCTTGATCTCTTCTAAAGAGTATATAATGTTTTATTACTGTATGTCATACTACGAGAGCATGCAGTAACTGTTTGATTTCCCTCCTAAAGCTTGCAAGGTCGATATTGGTATTCTCATGGACGAGTCTGGCAGCGTCAGCCCTGAGGACTGGGTTAGAGAAAAGAATTTCGTCAAAGATCTGTCYGATCACTTCGAGTTCGGTCAAAAAGCCGCACAGATCGGTGTCATCTCGTTCAGCACCAGAGCAAATATGGATATCCAACTCAACAGCAACAACAATGGAAACTCCTTCAAAAAGGCTGTAGATAGGATACGCCAAGCTCGTGAGTACGAGTCACGTGACAATCTTGACACGTGATCTATATGAATCACATGACTGCTTTCACACCTGATAATATTCACACGTGATCTTTTTAAATCACATGAGTGCCTTCACACAAGTCACATGACTATTTTTGACACGTGATCTGTATAAGCCACGTGATCTGCATAACTTATATGCCTAGTCGCATGACATCCCTGACAAGTGATCTTTAGTCTTAGTAGGCATATCAAGCCATGTGATCTGTAATGAAAGAGAAATTATTACATAATGCCGGCTACCGTTTTATTATAACTATCATTAAAGTGATGGGTTGTTGTTGTTGATTTTAGGTGGTTGGACGTACACAGCCACAGCCTTGAATCTCGCATACAACCAACTCTTCCATTCATCTAAAGGCGCAAGATCTAATGTTGCCAAGGTCAGTGTTCTATCGCCTTCAGGCCCCGTCCACACGTATCCGGAAATTTTTGCATCCGCAAATATTTTTTTTGCGGATACGAGTTGCGTCCACACGTGTCCGCAAATTTTTGCGTCCGTATCCGCAAATTTTACGAAAACGGATACGTGTGGACGGTGAAAACGATTCGAATAGGCTGCGTGTGGACGCAAACATTTTCGTATCCGCAAAAAATAATTTGCGGATACAAAAATTTCCGGATACGTGTGGACGGGGCCTCATATACGTGTAGATATTCTGATTCGCCGCCATTATGCTAAGGGACCGGTCATCATTTATAGCTTGGGGGAGGGGGAGGGGGCGGGGGAGGGGAGATGCGGGATCGCCGAGTTCTGTTGCACCTCTTATAGTCCTTATTCCCTGTACTATCTCCTGACATACATTTGAATTGACTTTTCTGGACAGGTTTTAATCGTAATCACAGACGGCTTCACCACAAGTGGAAAGGAAAGTCTTAGAGCTCCAACAAAGCGTCTCAAAGATTCTTCAGTGAACATCATCTCAATAGGTGTAGGGAGTAAAATCAACAAGGCTGAGCTGGAGCTAATGGCGACTACCCCGATCAACTCCCATGTGTTTTATGTCACTCAAATGGAACAGCTCAAGGATTTGATTAGTTCTATCACGACCTCGTCCTGTTCTTGTGAGTATTCAAAGTCCATTTGAATTAGCAATTAATGCCATGGGGATAAATGAAGGAATTTATTTATAAAGGAACACATGTGCTTTACCAATGCACCCTGCTTTAGTTGCAGTCGGAAAGGAGTAGTGACCCATGAATTCGGAACTGATCGCATCRCGCGCTCGGCTTTGGGCTTGTCCCGGGTCAGAGCGGTTCCCCATACCTTAATTACGTGTTATTAATAACAATACCTATAACAATAACTAATAACAATAACTAATAACAATAACAAGGGCAGAATAGAGCGTTTTTACGTGACGTCACAGCGGCCATTATGGGGTACCAAAACAATACATTTTCTATCCTCCGGGAATTGAACTCTATTTTTATGCAAATACTGTGCAGAAAGTTTCTATTGTTTATGGCTGCCTTCTCACGTGAGTGAAAACGCTCTATATCACTATTCTTATCAGTAATATATAGGTCATTCCCTTGAAAATAGGATTACCGTTAAATCCCGGTTATAACACCCAGGCTTTTGCTCATTCGTTATTGACGTACCTCATCAAAAAACACCATATAAAACAATAATATTCAAGGGAATAATGCACTTAATCTATTGCCTTATTAACCAAGGTATATCGGTTTCAGCGTTCACTTGCAGATACGTGACATGTGACTATGGAACGTGGGGAGCCTGGTCCAAGTCATGTGGTCAAGGCATGACACGCATTCGAAAGTTGAGCAAGACTAACTGGCACACGACAGAGAAACAGGGTGGATGTGCTGGAATGAAACAGACGTGTGATGCACAGGTCACAGAAACCAAGAATGACAACTGTATGTATTATCTGTCAATCAGTGAATAAATGAATGGGAGAATGAATGGAAGAGCATGTGTGGGGATAACCCTGAAACAGCCTCTGGGCTGATCTAAGTCAGGGCACGGCTAACTCACAGATCAAACCCTGAAACAACCTCTGGGCTGATCTAAGTCAGGGCATGGCTAACTCAAAGATAGAACTCTGAAACAGCCTCTGGGCTGAGCTAAGGCAGCAGGCACGGCTAACTCACAGATCGAAGGAACGACCAACTTACATATTGAATTGATATTTAACAACGACTGAAAGAAGGAATGGAGGAGGGAAGGAGAATAAAAGGAAAAACGAAAGAAAAGGTAGAAGGGAGAGAAGGGAATAGACATGTCGTACTATATGCGCTTGGTTTTCAATTTCAGGTCCATGTCGTTACGTGTCATGTTCGTGGAACCAATGGGGTGCATGGTCAGCCACATGTGGTAAAATGACAAGAATTCGTACCAGTAAAGTCACGCAACACACCGTCACGCGACCAAACTGTGACGGTCTCCAAACTACTTGCCCTTCTCCTGAATCAAAGAGCATTTATATMTCATGTAAGTAGATCTATACTGACTTCATAGTCTTTCTCTTTAGGCCATATATCCTTTGTTTTCTATCATCTCCTATAATTATCCCTTCTCCCCTATAGGCTGTAAGGCTGAGGTGGGCATCATGTTGGACGAGTCAGGTAGTGTCATTGACGAAGACTTTAAGCGAGAGAAGGACTTCGTCAACGCTATGGCAAATGGCTTCGGCAACTATGGTCCAGATGGTATTCAAATGGGTGTGATAACGTTCAGTACAGGCGCTGCTGTCGATATCAAGTTGAACCAGTACAGGAATAAACAAGACTTTGTTAACGCCGTTAACCGTATTGTGCAATTCCGTAAGTATTTCTATAGGCGACGACAAATGAACGACAAAAGCGCGAAAGCCGTGGGATTAGGCATAGACAACGCTTCGTACAAGCATGGTTTGCGCTGTGCCGTGACCGTGACCGTGCCTTGACGTTGTCGGTGCTGTCATCATGCTAGGATGGCCATAAGTAGTATTGTCATTCTTATGATTGAAATTCTGTTTATTATTTGTTTACTGGATTCTGTTTGATGCTTGTACACAGGAGGATGGACCTACACCAATAAGGCTCTTGATCTTGCTCGTACCCATCTCTTCAAGCCTGGCAACGGGGTACGAAAGGGCGTTACCAAGGTAAAGGAAAAGAAATACTGAGAGATGAGAAGGCATACGGACGGACGGACAGACAGACAGACAGACAGACAGACAATCAGACAGACAGACAGACAGACAATCTGACAGACAGACAGACAGACAGGCAGACAGACAGACAGGGAGATACTATAGTCATGTTGATGACATTTGATAAAAAACGAAATTCACTCTTCCCAACCCGTTGTCCTTTGCAGGTTCTCGTCATTATCACAGATGGAGTCAGTACACCGGGAATAGCCAGCCTTAAAGAGCCAGTCAGATTGCTCAAAGAAAGTCACGTGAACATTTTCACGATAGGCATTGGTCGGCGTATTAACAAACGGGAGCTTGATTTGATGGCGTCTCTTCCTACAGAATCCCACGTCTTCCAAGTAGCCAGCATGTCTGAGCTTCCAAAGCTACTACAAAGAATCAGTGACTCATCTTGTCAAGGTATGCAATGTTTTCCCTGTGGACAAAAGGGAATAACCCCTATTATACTTCAAAAAGTCTTGAAATAAATAACAAGAAGTGATAAAGTGATAATAATATTTTTATACCTAGCTTTTACCTGTAAATACGTGACTTGCGACTACGCTCCTTGGTCAGCCTGGTCAGCGTCGTGTGGTAAGGGCATGCGTCGTACACAAAGACTCGTCAAAGTTAACCAGCATACAAAGCAACAACAGGGCGGTTGCTCAGGCCTGCAAACCACGTGCGAAGCAACTAAAACCGAGAGCAAGGATATGAAGTGTAAGTCTTTAGGATCCGTCAGCATTACTTAAATCACTCGCGCGCTTTCTCTCAACAGCCTGCTGTGCATGCGCCAGTTTTGAGACGCGGACGCGTCGGCTTTCCGCCTAATGGCACTCATTTGTCGCAGGAGGACTGAGCAATGCTTAGGTAGACACTACCCACTGTAATATATAAACAGAAAACACGGTAAACATATTAAAAATACGATTAAAGAATTCTGAGAAACTAAACCAAGTGGAGTAAAGCTCTTGTCAAATAAAATGTTCCCAGGTAGCATTTCAAACATTTGACATAAGTTGGCCTCTAAGATTTCCATTCATTACCTTGTCTAATATAATTGTGCATATTTGATATTGAAGGTCAATGTCGTTAACGTCGAGTGTTCCTTAGATTTCCATCCCTGGCATTACCTTGTCTAATATAATTGTTCATATTTGATATTGAAGGTCAGTGTCGTTACGTCGAGTGTTCGTGGAAGCCGTGGGGTGAGTGGTCAGCTACGTGTGGGACGGCGACAAGAAGACGTGAGAGTCTGGTGACTGTTCACGTGACTGACAGGCTGTCTTGTAGCGGGCTGCAAACGACATGCCCTGCCCCTGAAGTAGTGACAAGGACAACCAACTGTAAGTCAAAATATATAGCAATTTCAGCAATTCTCAATCGATAGCTGGTTGGGTTGGTAGAAGTTGGTCGGTAGGTTGGTCGGTTGGTGGTCGCTTTACAAAGGTTAGCCTAATGGGTCTAGTTTTTCTTTTAAAATGATTGCCAACCCCCTGACATTATGACTAATTATGCTGTTATAGTCTCCGCACTGTTTCCAGACACTCTATTGCTGTATCTCAAAGCTTAATTGTTCCCGCGCTTTTCTCAAACCACAACAGGTCCATGTAAAGGAATCTCATGCACGTGGAACGTGTGGAGCATGTGGTCAGCTACGTGTGGTCGCGCGCAACGACGACGAACAATCAAATCCACGCCCATCATCCAGAACCTGCCTGACTGCTCTAAAGTCCCACAGACATGCAGCCAGAGACCAGAGATAGAAACAAGGACTACAAACTGTGTGTGTGCGTACGTGGAGTGTGTATGGAATCCTTACTCTGCGTGGTCTGCAACTTGCGGAGTCGTGACAAGAACAAGGACCATCAAGACTATCAGGCAAGTGATCATGTCTTGATTGGGTCCCCCAATAATACGGCTGGTGTAAACACACCGGTGCAAATGTTGCTTGCATACAACCATGTCCCCTTTACAGTTCCCTGCGCCATCTTGAAAGGTAGTCGTGCCTTTGCATGGAAGCGAGACGAACAGTGAGCATGCAATGATAGAGACATGTGAATAATTGTCCAAGGCGTTGGGGAAGGTCTCTATACGGCTACCTTTCAAGATGGCGCAGGGAACTGTGAAGGGCACTATTGCCGATAAGCCACTCTTTCAATGTTAATAAAATAAGCTCATTAATAATACAAGTCGAATTTACACAATGAAATTTAATGCGCGCGACGTTGCATGTGTGTCTGTCTGGGCCTTGAATAGCCAAGAGATTCTTGATTTCAGGATATCGATAAAATTTGAACTTTTTTTGCTTAAATGTACTCGAGTTTAACCAGCATTTAAAGACTAGTTTGAATCAAAAATATGAAATCTATAAAAGGGAATCTATAGTGATTTCAAATCGTATGCTTCTTTTTTTTTCCTGCCAGGAAGACCATCAATAAACCCGACTGCAGTGGCTTAAAACAGGAATGCACTGAGAAGCCTCAGACTGAAAGACGAGAAGTCAAATGCACCTGTAAGTTTGTCAAGTGTACACAGAACCCGTGGACTGACTGGTCTGCTACGTGTGGAAAAGCAACGAGACAGAGAACATGGAAGGTATTGAAATACTTGAAATATGGAAATGTCTTTACGATGCGTGTTTTCTGTCCTTTTTTATCAGTCTTATGAAATCTTCAAAAGCCAAAATATGGGCCATGGAGGGTACCAGGGAGGGCAAAGGATTATTTGTCAAATCAAACAGTTCCTAATACCCAGTCTCCTATTTCATAATATCTTACGGTAATCAAAATGGCGGCTGGTGACTGATTAAGACAACACCGATTTGCATGTATGCTTTGTGTTTATTAATTTCAATTGCTGATAGGGCAAGAGGAAGCTTTTCTGGTACATGTAACATAAAATTTTCAATGTAAAGTTATATTTCAGGACGAATTTTGAAAAGGTTAACTCGAAATACGAATCCATTTTGAAGCCGTCGTGGAACTTTTGGCGATGCAACAAAAATGCTTCTGATTGGTTAATAGTAACCGGAAGTGCGTGCGCGAGAACACCTGGTATAGGTTGAGAAGATCTCGCCTCCCCTCCGCCCTACAATATCTGGACGAGCAGTGATATTGTGCATTGTGATTGGTTCAAATGATATCGCGGACTGTGATTGGTTCAAATGATATCGCGTACTGTGATTGGTCCTAATGATGTCCTCAATGCCGTACCGTGTCTTAAAATGGACTCATATGAACTCTGCTCTATCTTCAGACTCTTCTCTGCTGTGCAAATAAAACTACTTCATTAAACAAATATTCTGGTTTCTCTTAGACAACACAAGTAACAGAAAATAGACTGACCTGTGACAACCTGCCACAATCCTGCCCTGCACCAGAGGTGGAGAATCGTGAGACCAAATGCACCTGTAAGTTTGTCAAGTGTACGAAGAACCCGTGGACAGACTGGTCTGCTACTTGTGGGAAAGCAACGAGACAGAGAACATGGAAGGTACTAGGACTAGTTTCTCTTAAAGCCCACATGCAAAGAAGTCACCATAGGAGCTAAAAACTAGTGTAAGACACACAAGATCCTCCATAGGAGTTTAACATCACTGACACTGGTGACACATCGAGTGTACTGTTCATAGCAAGGGGTTAATCATCTATGGTCTAGAGGCCGACTAACCTCTCCTTAGGCTTCAGCCGAGCTTCCTGATCAGTCTGTAAATTCAGCAAAGGAGTCTAGAGCACTCCAAAGTCTGGAGTTATGGTATAGTCCCCCTAAATTTAGGAACTGATCTCAAAGCGCTATAATTAGTTGCATTGATAATAATGATACATAACAATTCTTTCTTAAACTTTTCACATCATCGCAATTGTTAGACTACCCAAGTGACTGAGGACAGACTTAACTGCGACAATCTACCACAATCCTGTCCAACCAAACCAGAGGTGGAGAGTCGCGAGACCATGTGTTCGTGCAAGACCGTCGACTGTGTGCCAGGGGCATGGGGTGATTGGTCAAATGACTGCGGTGATGTTACAAGGCGTAGGAACATCACCGAAACGGCTAAAGTTGTGCAGCAGTTGAGCTGTCATGGGTTACCACAGAAGTGTGCAAATACATTCGAGGAAGAAAATAAGACACTCCCAGATGCATGTGAGTACAGGTTAAAAAACATTTTTGGGAGACCTTTAGACTTTCCTGAATTTGCTTGAATGACCAAGAAACAATAGCTTCAAGTCGAGGTTAGACTTGATAAAACACAGTAAATGTATGAACACAGCAAGTCCAACCTCAACTTCGAGTCATTGTTTCGCATTGAGAAAGGTCTATTGCTGGGTTTCAATCAGTCGATAAGTCTTTGAATCATAATCTGCTCCAAATGGTGGTCAAACATTGACCACCATGTGCTTTCAAGCAGAAACGATTCTATTACGGGATTCAGACGATAAACATCCTGAGTGAGACAGGAAAAAATCAAGAAATAATACTCTCTCGTTTCTCTCGCACTGACGTCAGGGCATTGGGAAGAAAGTTAAGTGCACGCATACGACTAGTAATAGTTATAATGCCTCTCCGGTCGCGCAAACGAGATGAATGCAATGTTTATTCCACGCTACTGTTACCCACTCATAAATAATAGAACTTGTGTGTATTTTATTTTATTGTGTGTTGCTAGCAACATCTGCCAAATAAACGTCTGTGCAAATGTTCGCATTGGGACGGGCATAGGGTAGTGCGCGCAAGTTCTAAGGCTGCGTTCATAATGTATGACAGGGGGGGGGGGCAGGTGAAATTTAGGG